GTCAATAATTGGCTTGATTGCTTTATTTTGCTTCCCCTCCAGTTGCGTGGGTGTATCTTATTGATATTATGGACCGTCCCAAATCGCGATGGCCGACCGGGGAGACCTTAAATTCTACTGATTGGTTGGTTGAGGGATAAAAAAAGGCAGAGCTTTCCAACCATTTATTATGTAAAATGTGGAGAAACCATAATGGCAGTTCAGCGTTGGGCCAATCAGAATTTTCGACTACAAGTTTAGTTTGGGTTCTGCAGGATGCCATAGAAACGATCCGCGTGAGTGTACGTAGTTCAGCTTTGCAATAACAGAGGGTAGCACAGAATGAAGCGGTTCCTATTTGAACTGAAGGGTAACTTTTTGTAATTACCGTGTAATCGTAAATGAAAGATTTACGTAACTTTATTATAGGTATACCTAGTAGACTTGGATTAATGTAAACATAAAGACGGTACCAGGTACTTGTGGGGCACGTGAGCTATACCTGACTAATAATTTTCCGTTAAATCGATGACAGAAGAATGATTTAAACTGAACGGACGATTAAATCAATAAATTGTACTTTATAGCGGTAGCTAATACGGGTTTCTATACGAAAAATTAATCTCTCGCGCTTTTTCCGCATTGCGCCCCATCTAGCGCAAACGCCTAGGTGGGTATACAAACCTTCACGCACTTTTTTACCACCTCTATTCTCCATCAATCACACTGACATTTAGTTTTCTGCTTTTCATAACTCATCATGAATTTAAAAAGACGGAACATGTTTTTTTATTGCTAGTTTATGTTTCTAGAATCCGTTTTAGACGTTAAGATAAATATTATGAATTCTGACGGGTTTTTAAGGGGATGTAAACACTTGTTATTTTCTAATCCAAAATGCTTTGCTATTTTTCAGAATATTCGGCCATTTCCTATATGTTTACTTTTAAATACCTACAACCGTATTTCTACTTACCTATAGAAAACGTACATACCTACCTACACCTAAGATTGAATGATGGGATTAACTTTTAATACGAGCCTACACTTAGATTAATTAGAACAGAAACACATGTTGATTCCATTATAAACGTTTAGTATCTACATATATAAGTAGGTAGGTACCTACTTAATACTTATTTTAAAAAATGTACTTAATTTCCATGTCTAATAAGTATAGAAGCTAACACATAAAAGCTGATTTTGTGATGTCCTACGAGTTAAGAGCTGAAACCAATCAGAAAAGCAATAATGTTAAGTTTCATATATGTAACCAGTCTGTAGTTTTTATGTATGTTATGGTTCATTTCTTTAGTTGACAACGTTACAAGTCTTTGCTGTCATAAAAAGTTTTACATATATAGCGGGTTGGTTTCGGAGTAATAGTATTCTAAAAACTGTTGTTTTCTTGTAGCTATCGCTCAGTTTAAATTAGGTACTACAAAGTGCTTTCTAATTTTAGGAAAAATGTTAGGGTTAGGCTGAATTTTTAAGTTCACAAAAATATACGATAAGAAGTTTATTCTGTTTTCCTCTTTACACATTAGGTGCGGAATTTAAGAAATTTTACTTTTTAAAAGGATTTGTACCAAATAAATAACTACCTACTGAAGTATTAGGTTCACTGAGAATCAGTTACCTATCTGTTTTACATTCTAAACCAGAATCTAAATAATCTTTGACATCGCAGAGTTAGGGAGATGATAAACGGCTTTCTTAAAATGGTAAACAATTCCCAAGGTCTACGTCCATCACACATTATAAATATATCTAAGTACCTATACATTGCCTAAGTACCTAACGCTTTTTCCGTTTTGAAGCTAAGTGTGTGAATTCCTTTCGCTTTAAAATTTAAAACTTTACATTAATAGGTTTAATGTTCTCGGATCATAAATCATTAAAATAGATAGTAGGTAATCGTTCCCGTTTCGCCGCAATTTAACTGAAAAATAGCACCAAAGAAACTGATCTAGGTATTATTTATATAACTATAGTAGTATAGGTAAATCTACCTTTATTTTTGCCTGCTTATAGGGACTGTGATGTTCTACAAAGGCCGATTTCACAAGGGTTAATCCAATTAATAATTAAAAATATTGAATGGTAACACCTCATCGTACCTGACAACTAAAGATGGTCTAACACTAATAATTTTATGATTGATCTATAGCCATCGTTTGTAAATCACAAATAAGCGTATTAGGTAAATAGGTAGGTGGGCTATAGGCACCACATTAACGACTTTAAGAGTGTACCAAGTAGATAAAATTCCTACGATTCGATAGGTACAAACAAAGAAATCGCATTTGATATTATGGACCTAATTAATTCACTCATGTGATGATCGTCGGTCCCCTACACTCCTACACACACTGTGCCCAAGATAAGAATACCTATCTATCATGTGGATCTTGAAAACAATATCTACCTAGAAGGTTAAATTAGGAAAAAGTTGCGCAATTAAAGGGTTACCATGCTGGTTAAAATCCAGAAAATTCCGATTACTTCCAGAAAAACCGAAATTTGCTGATTTTGTATTTATTTTGTCGGATGTTAGGTATTTGAACAGATACAAAAAAATAAAAAAGACACTTTCTCATTGCCACTAAGTATTTCAGCTCTACAGGACATCATTGAGAGATTTTCGATATACAACGTTTCGTTTCGGAGAGATCATCATCTTTTATATGACTTGTAAAAAGGTAGGTATACACACTGTACACTGTACCTACTGTAATGAGTGACAAAAGGCCAAACGCAAACAAAAAAAAACTTATTTCTTGTTTCTTAAAATATAGGTAGCTAGGTATGTGGATCTACTTATTCCTTGTGGTACTTCATTACCTAGATATGTATTTTTTATTTTCTTATTTACGCTTTACCTACTAATTTTTAGAATTATTTGTTTTTGTCCACTGTATACCTAATTCATAGAAGGGTTGAGTGGTAGAACAGACATGGTAGGTACCTACTAATGTGATCAAAAAGGAGTTGCTGTCGAGTCACCTTTGGAATTTTTGTTTACTTGGAAAATCGTATACTTAACTTGAACTTCCAAAGGCGACCCGACAGCAACTCATATTTTTGATTGCTCGTTATCTTGGTAACTCCAGTCTGAAATCTGTCCTATTGAGTTTGTCCCTTTTTTCTAAGTAGGGCTAAATTTTGAAATACACAATTCAGTAACTCAAAATTATAGGTAGGTACCTACTTAGGCACCTACTATCAGTAACTTTTTTTTTAGCTATATGAGATTGATACATTAGCATAGGTAGGTACCTAAAGGGAGCATTTTTTAATCAAAATTTTTATGTTCAAATCAGAAACATAATTGAATATCAGACTGCGATATCAATTTTTAATCTAAATTAAAATTTGGTGAAAAAAACTTTAACACAGATTCTACCATCATTGATATAAAAACGAAGCAACATGATATTGAACATTGTTGCTTTCTCATTGACAATTTTTAAAATCCCCAAACAGAAAGCTGTGCTAAATCGGGCATTTTGGAAAATGGCGGCTAATTACGGGATTTATTACATAGTCGTTGAGTTTCGAAAAAATTATTCTTAACAAAAGTTGTTTCTATTTATCTACATCTTTTGTTACACTTTTTTTGTGTGCCCACCTAGGTATATTTTCATAAAATGCTTTCTTTTTAATAATAAATATCATTTGTTCAATATCACCTTCATAACCTATTTCAAGAACAAATAATGTTTTGAGAAAAACTTGGGATTTATAAAATATTTATAGGGTGGTTCAAATTCGCGGCTCATCATGAGATCTCTATAACGGTGAGAGTTACAGTGTAGGTTACATGAGGGCCAAGTTGCCTCTTTTTGGACTAAAATAACGCTTTTGAAATTTTTGAAAAATCTTTGAAAATAACTGAGATGTCACCAAAAAACTGAAAATGAAAAATTTTGATTTTATTTTCCCGAGCTTAAACGGTCGGAATTGGACGGTTTCCGTTAGCACTTTTTTTCGGAGAATCTGTTACATACCTATTATAGAATTTCCATAGCATGTTAGATGTAGAAGCTACTACTAAGCAACTAATTTCTTGTTTCTTATGGGCGCCATATTGAATTTTATAAAATGTGTTTTTTAGCCACAAGAAAGGGCAACTTTGCGCCCTTTTAACCTACCTATACTTACTGTATCTCTCACCGTTACAGAAATCCCAATGGCGAGCTACGAATTTGAACGACCCTGTACAGTGTACAGTATACCAAGTGTTCAATTATTGTTTAGACAATGGCATCAACATTTTTCTTGATAAACCCTGACTCGCAGTGCTTGGTAGAGCGTGAACTTTAACAATGACAAGATCGTAATATAATTCGAGGGGTACTAAGTTGGTTTGAAGAAGTCACGGGAACTAACATATCATTTTTTTTTGTACATCTCCACAACGTCGGTTCTAACATATTGCCACTCCACTTGCACGTATAGGTGGTAGTGCCCGCGGTACACAAAAAAATAGTGCATTTAATGATGCAAGCATTTCGCTTTGCATAATTGTTGTATGGACCTTAAATAATGATTTGACCCATAGTTCCTGAAATTTCATCCCTTAGGATTGCAATTTCAGGGCGGGGGTTCAAGTTTCATGTGAAAAATGTTGGAAAAAGTAAATTTAGCCACCAAGGCCTGTTTGTAGTCACCGCCGCAAGATTCTAACCTGTGGAAAGCAACGCAATGCAATGGTCAGAATTTCCGAACAACCACCGGAAGTCATGATAGACCTCCATTTTTAAAAATGACCGCCAAAAAGTGAAACTTAATGCTGAGCCCAAATGTTGGAGTGTTGGGTATCATTTCAAATGTTTTTGA